CTGAGAGATCTATAGCTGGTGCTACTACATGTATACGATCATGGTCGTCAGGTGGCCAGCCTACAGGTTTTAACAGAGTCCAACGTGAAAATATCTTAACATGTACTTTGTCTATGAATGTATAAAAAGTACCGTGCAAACAGGAGCCACCAGACTCCTGTTGCTCATCTAACAGTTTGAAAAAGTCATTCAAATATCCTCAGGAATCAACATCGATGACATTCAAAGACCTTATTAAGTTTGCAGCAGACAAGAACATTAACAACTGTGACATTTACAATGTCATAATTTCCTTTTTTATATTTGGAGTGGCCAGTTGTCTCCAATTTGGTAATATTATTAATGATTTCCTTAGCAGACGGACTTATCCAGGGTGACTTACAGTAGCTTGTTAAAATCCAATGTCCAATGACCACAGCTCAAACTCTCCCATCAGCCAGCTGCTGCGGCTGTTTTCTTCAGACATCCAATTGCTTATGTTCCACACATTTGAATGAGTGTAGATGGGTAGCCCAGAAACTGGTTGAAAGTTTTTGTGTGGAAACAAGTGAATTAAAAGTGCACACAAGCACAACTGTAGATCAATTGCAGGCATCAGTCAGCTCAGCTGAAATACAAACCAGCAGACAGTGGTACCCCTTGACCACCACTGCCACAAGGCTCAGTTCGTGCTCTGAGTGATGGTGTTTACTGGCTCCGCCTCTTTCTAATCAGGTGTATTTTCCTAATTAGAAACTTTGTGATTTTTTTTCTACTCAGAATGTGGACATCTAAAATTGAACAAGTTTAAATAAATGTTATTATTAAATCACTTCAGGGTTCTGACAGCTCAGATAGAACAAGAGCCAGCGGGTGTGTTGGTCCCCTGACCTAAATGAAGAAAAAGGGATGATGGGTGACAGACAAGAAGAATATCAGAGAGAATACGAAAATAGGAGATGAAAAATGTCATTGAACGTTGAAGACTTTTTTAAAGAAACGTGTGGCGGAAAATAGTCCTGCCCCGGTACACAATTCCACAATAATTCTTGAATCAACTCTTGGAGTCCAGCAGGATCATCTACACAATGTGGGTCCATATACCCACAACCCTTCAGAAGTACAGATGTATCTCCTGTTTCTCAGCCCTGAATTTTCCTGCTTTGCAGTTACAGTATATTTACACCCTTGTCCTACCCTAAGTCTGAAGTGATGGTGTGATGTATGGCATTATTATGAATCTTTATCAGGTTTTTGAATACGTTCTACTGTAATGGATGAACCAGCCAAACATATGTTAATTAATCAACAAGTACTCTATAGTAACTCTTGACTGTTGAAAGGGTTTATATTTGCAACATTCATTTTTTTTAAAAGAGCCATTGTTTCAAAATTCTTCATTTTTATCATTTCTGGTACATTTTTGCATTCATTTTATTATTTTAAAAAAACTTAATAGTTTAGATGGATTTTGCAAATTAAATGGAAACAAAAAAGATTTCTGGCATATTTTCGGCAAAGAAGCACTTGCTCTGTCATCATTTTCCATGTGCAATAACAAACTGATTACATAATGTCGTCACTTGGGTCTATTTTAAAAGTGATTGATGTTCAGGTGCTGCACAGTTTATTTTGTTGCTGCTAAAGGCTAGGAAATAGGACACACAAAAATATCTAGAATAGTAGGAAGGCTATAGTGTTACAGAATAGTATCTGTAGCAAAAATAATCATTAAAACTAAATCAATTTTCATCTTCATTAGTCAAATGGGCAAAGCTTTTTTCAGTCCTGCAGGGTTCTTATCTAATGGAAAAAGTAAAGGATACAGGAATGTGATTGTTTTAGGTGTTTGTGTCATACGTAAAACAAAGAACAAGCTTTCAAATACAGTATATTTTATGTAGAAGGTAAATGAGAATAACAATATTTTGTTGTCAACAGAGTAAATCATGAACATGACATGGACACCAGCAGTATGTGTACAGTGGTGTAATTCTATTACTGGAGACACTTTTTATCAAACAGATTGATGATGCAGTAATTGAGTAATGTTCTGATTGACTGCCTGTTGCTTTAGTTATTCGTATGATGTGACATTTTTCACTTCAGTGACCAGTTACATCCTAACTAGGTGATGGGTTGTAGGCAGCTGAGACAGCCCATGGCCTGAGAAGGTGGTATTATCATCTGTCTACCAAGAAAATGGAAAACAATGGGGTTGTAGACCTTAAAAAAACAACTGTATGTTCTTTTATATACAGTTAGATGAAGAAAACAGATCTGAAAAATTACATAAACTGAAAGATGCAGCTGAAAAATTAAATAAGCTCCCATGCCACTCACACATGTACTGAGTGCCTATTGATTGTTTTATTTCTACAATTTGCAATGAAGCAAACTGCATGGAATAAAAGCATCTAAGCTGATACAGAGTCAGGTTACTTTCATGAGAATTTAAAATAAACCTTGCGTGCTCTCCACTCATCTGGTTTTAAAGCAACGTGAGGCGTCTGTTTCAAAACGATTTCCTGGGGCTCTGATTCCTCTGCTGGCATACAGTAGCAGCAGCTTAGGAAAAGAGAAGAATGCCAGAGTAGCAGGTTCAGTCCTGTGGGCATCACACCCTTCTTCTTCGGCGGGGACATACAGTAGCTGTTGCAACAATCCGGTGCAGAGCGTGTGGTTTTCCCACTCTGACTAACCCTGTGAGGCTGCATGGAAGACGTGCTCATATGAGCCAGTCCAGTACATCTGCCACTGCCACAGCCACAAGATAAATCTCTTTCATGCTGACCTACTTTCTGACGGTGTCCAGCTCCTGAAAGGTATATCCTGGGAACTACTGTACTCTGGCAGGTATTCAGGAATTTCCTTACCCTGTTCTGATTTCAAATCACGAACACCAGATTCTCAAAAGCACACGCAGAACATTCCTCTGAAGGTTTGTGACAATGAGTCCAAGGAAGAAAAAATACAGAGCAGTCGCATGTTTGTTCTAAGATTATATATTTTCAGAAGCAGCACAACAGCAAACATTAAAGTAACAGTTCCAGCATTCGCTACACATTTTGTGTGGCACAATGTGTATTTTGCATACAGACTTAACAATTTCCTTGTTAGATTGAAAGTAGATCTGCTTTCTACTAAATCTGATGTAGTAATGCATGATTTACCCTAAAGCTGGGGTGTCACGTTTCCACTCTTCAAGACATGCAGTTCCTCTAGATTTCATCCACATTAGTCTCCGCTAGTACATATTTGATTTAATTATTTGCTTAATTACCCACATTTAGTGTTCTTTTTTTCAGGGACTGATTTCATAGATGTTCACAATTCAAGGCAGAGTATGTAGAAAACATTTTGAAGCCTGGAGGGAGATTTTAAATGAATTCCAGTTAATCAACAACTTTATTCAAATGATTTAATAATAAAGTACAGTAGAAGACAGGGTATTGACTTTGACACCACTGTCTTTCCGCAGATAGGGAGTGCTCATTATCAAGGGACAAGCTACTGTATGTTGTGTGCTCCCCCTCTATAATGTTTTTCACAATGAAGGGATCTCACCTTTGATATTCCAAGGTGCAATGTCTGAATATATCCTGCACATTTTGGCTGAGTGAAGGAAAACAGGGCATTAAGGTTTAGTCACTTGTTTTTGTGCATTTTGAATCTACTATATTATTGGGTACTAAGCAAATAAAGCAGTCCAAAAGAGGAAGAATACAATCTGTACCTCTGGACTAGGTCAGCCATGTGATTGGTCTTTTTTACACAACTACACACAGTTGCTGATATCAGCCCTATCTTTTATGACTGTACTGTTCAAATTGTCTCTGGAACTTGTTCAAGAGCTTGATACAATAGAATTGATAGAAGCTAATAAATAACTGCACTTTTCCAAGTAAACTCCCCAAATGACCTTTAAGCAGGGATCTGGACTCAGGATTGAAGAATCCCTGTTCTAAAGGAATGCTGTTGCCATGCTGATTGGCGTTTCGTGCTTAAGACAGAAAACTCTTCTCCGCTTCTGACATTAAAGGAGACTCAATCAAACACGTCAAACCGCAGTATTTCATTTCACATGCTAATCCCTGCAATCCCAGGAGTGCTCATGAACGCAGCGACAGGTAACCTTACTGCTGGTGAGAGATTTCCATGCCTTTACCCTGCCACAGCTTTCCCATGGCTGTCCATACCCCTCTAGCATTTGCCATACATTTTATTCAGCTTTTACCACAAAGTATCCCATTAAACATTTAAGCACCATCTACAATATTTCAATTTTGAAGGAAGAAATACACTAATGGATGAAGTTGCTATTAATGTGACATAAAACCACAAGGAAATATTCCTCTATATTCCTGCTTATGCATGTATTTATAGACATCAAAATTCAATGTGAAAACATCCTAATTGCAATACATCAGGATTAGGGGCCCCACACAATCTGAAGATATTGTAGCTTTAAAAGGAATTTTATTACCTTTTAAGACACCTCCATTATTTTTATGGAAAGTTAGTTTTCATGTGATGCCACAGCTGAATTATTAAGGGCTTAATAGTGTTGTGGCATTGCATTTATCCGGTCCTTATTTTATGATGTTATTGTGCACCTTTATATCAAATCAACGTCGGGTTTAAGCACAATGTAATGGAACACAAATGAAAATAAACTTCAACGTTTTGAGGAAACGCAAACCTTTAAACTCAATAGGTTATTGAAAGAACAATTTATGAACATCGTATGTATCCATGTACTCAGTTTAAACGCTACGATATTTAAAGATCTAAATGGACTTTCATTACAATACCTTTTTTCAGAACATATATTACAATGATTTGAAAATGTATTTTTCAACGCATCTAGAATGCTATAATTCTACTAGTTTTTAATTCTAAGGAGAAATGTAGGATGATATACACATATACGATGTTTTAAACTGTGCATATTAGATATCCAAGCTTTGAAAAACACGGATTTCACTCATCAGCACTTTCTAATCAATCTCGCAGTCTCCGCAAACACGTCAGCTGATGAGAAAAATCAAGTGACCGGTCACATGACAAGCAAAGTCTATCAAGATGGCTACGAGGCAGGAGTAAGTTGCATGTTTTTGTACGCGTTGTAATTTCAAGGTATTATTTTAGATGACAAAAACGGGTTTTGCGTTTGTTGTAGTTATTTAACAACGCACAGTTGCAACAAATACAAATTTGATTGATTCCATTTATCGTGGACAAAGGCTTCGATAATGTTAGTAGTAAAGGCAATGGCAAACGTATCCGCTCTTTGCAATGAACTGGTGTTGCTATGGCTGACAGTGTTTCCAATTAAACACTAGTAAATAATTTAAGGTTATTGAGCTTTTAGGTCTGAAGCTAGGGTACTCACGGTTTATCGGTATCTTAGTTTTTAATTAAAGGTGCGAATTAACCCAGGAGAAAAGGAGTAGCTAGATTTTCACGACAGATTGCATACACTGACCGCCTAGTTTATTTCAGTTTTCTGTTACATTTACACTTATAGAATGATATTTGTTGTCGAAAAGAGTGTTTTATCCCATAGCTTTATCTGAAAATGACCAGAATGCATTTTTTTCTAATTTCTAGGGGGTGGTGGGGGGGGGGGGGGCATTTAACTTAACGCTTACTGAACTGTACGTAGCTGTCACTGGCAAATAATTGTTTCTGCAATTCATTTTTATCCATATTTAATGGTTTTCGAAACCAGGGTGTCAGGAACTAGCAGCGATTATTTTTGTGTTGCAGACACCGGCGGAATGATGCATTCATCTGCACTCGCGTCTAGCGCATTGGGACAAACCTAAGGGTTCAGGCATCATTTTAATCATATATCAAGAGCTGTTTTTCGTTTTAGGATTGTGAAGGGTGCAGCGGTGGTCATAAGCTAATATGCAGCCAAGAGATAACATTACCCAGATGCTTGACTGCAAAAATCAGTTCCACGTGTCGAAATTGTCCGTGCAGATTGTGCGCTTGCGCGGCGGCATCTCTCAGCAGACGGCGTGTAAGTCGGTTCCTGCCGCTTAAACTTAACTCTTAAAGTTAAAATGAACTCTTAACTCTTAAAGACTCTTAAAGTAAAAATGCTTACGTGGTGTGTGTACTGGTGTGATAGTATTTTAATTCATGAAGGTTATTTCATTTTTAAAAATTGTTTGGTTGTACCGTTTACAGTCAATCGATTTTCTTTACATGCTATGCCCTCGTTAAAATCTTTTGGGGCGTTTTATTTGGTCACTGTAGCGTTGCTTGCGGAATTCTGTTTCTGTTTTGGGTGTTATTATTATTATTTCGGTTTGCTTAGCAGACACCCCTGTACAGGGAGCTACCCAATACTGGAACTTTTCATTGCGTTACTAACTACAGCTGAGGCATCATTGTGCAAGCGCAGTACGGTACATGAGGGTTGATATAGGTAACTCACTCGAAACACCAACATTGCCTTCGGGCGTTTAACGGCACAAAATGAGATTTTTGTGGCTTCTGAAATGAAGCCTGCTCATCACTCTTATTTATCACTCTTATTTAGACGGTGTCGTATTGTCCGCAACATCTCCACAACGCCGTGTAAAACCAACATCGCCGAAGTCAAGAAGTCACAATCGCAAAGAGTTTCTTACTTGAGTATTTCAGTATAGTTTTATTTATTCGGACTTTACAAACTACCACGGTTACGGTACACGTTGTGAGAAAAGGCGATTGACTTTATTATCCACGCTATTAAAAATAAAGAATGGCACTTGGAGCTATAGTTTCATATCACTTTTGCTTTCATATGACTAAAGAAGTTGTTTCATTGTACTTTGCATTTGGATTCAGCTTGTGGTTTGCGCGATACGAGGATAATGCCGATAAGGTACAATGGTTTCAATTTCGACGCAATCAAGGAGTGAGTGAATGTCTCACTCACAGAAAAATAGATATGTACATGTGGATGAAAAGCATTCTTAACACGGGAAGGTCTGCAAGAGTATACGTTTAGTCTTATGTATATGAAAAAGAAAGAGGCAGCAGTGGATTTGATTTCAAATCCGTTGTTTTCTTTGTAGAAAAAGCCTATATACCAAGATTATTTTTTATCTTTGGACCTTGCCCAGAGGATTTTTTTTTAAATCCTTGATTGCTTGCACAACGTAGAGATTCAAGACCGAGCTTTGTTGTTGATGTAGGTGCATTTCTTATTTCTCTCAATTAACCTTTGCAGCAAAAACCTGAAAAGATTCACAATGCCTAGATAAAAAAAAAAAACATCCTGAAACCAAATGTTATGCTGTCTAGCCCATACAGTTCATCAGACACACAGCCCTGCCCCAAGCAGATAGAGGTCATGGTTTCAATCCACAGTGCTATTAATCCAGAGCTGTTGATGGAAAGCTATCTGTAACTAGAGGCAGCACAGAAGAAGCAGAGCACACTGACCACTCTGGTGTTTTTCTTGAACACTGACACACACACCAGAAAACTCAAGTAGGAACTGTGTAGATGTGGAGATGGTTAAGACTATGAGCAAAGGCTTTGGTCGTGGGAGTGTGGAACAAGCTACCCAGCCTTGTTGTTGAAGTGGATACCCTGGTTACTGTGAAGAAATGGCTGGATGTGATCTTTGAGTCAGTTATCTCCCAACTACCAAATGGCCTCTCATTTGGAAGCGTCCTCATGTTCAAAGGGTAACAGCTCCTCATCCAATACCTTCCCATACAGTCTTTCCTTAAGGAAGAGGCTGCTTTGGACTCAAAGAGTTAGGCTGCTGTGCAAGTTATGTTTCTTTTTCATTTGGTCTGTGTGGTTGTGCAATCCCCTGTATGTTTCACGATTGTGCTGGCCTCCTACTTATCTACCAACTAATTAACTAATTAACAGGCTGAATAGGCCTGATAGCCTCCTCTCATTCGAATCCATTATTGTTCTTATTCATGTAAGGGGAGCATGTGGATCTTAATGAGGGTGTACAGTACTTCACCAATCTTTTGAATCCTTGATTTCGATTCAGCATCCGTGCAGTACTGGGTTAGGCGTGGGAAACGGTTTAAAAACCACGAAGCCAGATGTAGCTTCTGCCGTGTGTTGTCAGAAAGCCGTTTTCCTTGGCGTGAGTCATGCTAAGTCCAGCCCAGTCCCAGAGCCACAGAGCAAGCACATGACCACTGCCCCCCCCACCAGGAGGGAGGCTGTCTATTGCAAAGCCCTGAAAAATAAAGAAACAAAACCACAGCTTGTAAAGCAGGAATACTTCCTTTTTACACATTTCTCCTTGGGATAGTTTCACAGACAGAACACCTAGTGGTAACATGTGTAGGTAGGTGCTTTATGAGGAAGGTTGAGGTATTATTAAGGAAATCCACATTCACGATAGAATTGTTCCTCTCATGTCTACGTGACACTGTTGTTCATGTGGCCTCCTTTTAAAACACTTCAAAAATCAAGAGACAAAGCAGCGTGCACATGACAGGGGCTTTCAGACAGGAACAGCCTTTCCGTTGACTGATAACAAAGTAAAATTGAGAGAAAATATAACCACTTTAAAGGAGTTAGATGCAATTGATACTGAAATGTTTTCTTTCTGCTGTCGCTAATGGATCCTGTGCAGCCGTGTTCCTTATTATGGGTCAGGTGGATGATGAAATTGACAGAACTCTGTAGCTGGAGACCTGGCAACCCTTTTCTGTCGTAACACGCTGTCAGTGCTCGTACTTTTCTCTTCACTCGCTGGGGTCAGCACTCTGAATAAGCGTACATTTTGATACAACCATTAGCGTTTCTGTGGGGAAGAAAAGGGACTTCTTGAGCATCCATTAAAGTAAGGTTTTTCTGTGTCCCCATGAAGTCAAATAATGGTGTTGGTTCAGTGAAAGAGCCATTATTTTTTTAATCAATCTGAAAGCACTATATCTTGATGAGGCAGCAATGAAATAATTGTTTAATACATGATTGTCTCTGCCCAATTATTATTGGAAAAGGTTGTGATGTATAGCTAGATAAGACAATATACATACAATGAAAACTCTTGGGTGTAGTCATTTTCTCCTCTCGTAGCTCGCCCTAGTGTTGGCCTCTTACTGAGCAGTAAGAAGCAAGAGGGCTGCTCAGAGCCAGCAGGAATGGCACAGAGAAAGCCCACGATGGCCTGTCTTGAACGGGGAACACATAGACAGCTGGAGGATGTCCAGCCCCTTCGGGATCGATTCCGTTCGCCGTGTGCTTTCCAGACGGCAGTGTGGGAAGAGGCTAGCTCCTGTTCCTCTCCTCTCTCCGCAGGCCTGTGTACTGGCTGGGGAATGACACCCTGCGGGTCTCCATGGCCCTGTTCGCCGAGAACCGCCGCCGGCTGTGTGAGCGGCTGAGGGCCAAGTCCGAGGTGGCCAGGAGGTCGGTGGTCGTGCTGCAGGGCGGGGAGCAGACCCGGAAGCACTGCACCGACACGGACCTGCTCTTTCGCCAGGTAACGGCAGTGTGACGGAGAGGGAGCCAGGACAGCAGCCCTCCGTTTCCTAATCACTTCTTTGTATTTGGGGATCGCGGGGGAGCTGGAGCCTATCCCAGCAAGCAACAGGCACAAGGCGGGGTACACACTGGATGGGACACCAGTCCGTCGCAGGGCGCACACAGACGCACGCTGACACCTGGGCCAGTTTTCCTGGAGGCCAATTAACCCACCAGCATGTCTGTCGATGGTGGGAGGAAACCGGAGCACCCTGGGAGAAACCCACACACATACAAACTCCACACAGACAGCTCCCCAGGAATTGAACCTGAGGTCCCAGTGCTGCAGTATCAAAAAATCTGTACCCTCTATGGCTGCTCTGGACTTGAAAGACCGGCCAGTCGAAAACGTCTATGAATTCTGAATTTGTGAGGGATAAAGGAAGATTTTCAGTGAGCAGAGGCGTTAGTCTCTTACCTTATCTTTAGTTATCTTATCTTAATCTCTTATAGTCTGCAGAATCAAGCTGCTTGCTGGCCTACACAAAACAACAAGTCAGACCATAAAGTGTTAAAATGTGCTGGTGATAGAATATTAGAGAATAATCCTAACAAAGGTTTTTCTGGGTGTATCATTTTTATCTTTTGTTAAAGCCTTCTTTGGATCAAAGTTTGTTGGACAAACCTTGTTTAGCTTTCAAGTGTAGGTTTCTATAATGTTTAACTCCTAGTTTTCGAATGGCTGTGTGGCCTCTTGTTCTCTTTCCCAACAACGTGTAACTTGTGATTTGGTTATAAAGGTAGGTAGGTGGGCGTGGCTGCTGTGGTCACATGATAGTGTCAGCAGACACTGTGAAGAATTTTTGCTGACAGAAGCATATACCTGTTCCTATATCCATCTGTTTTCAGTAAGTGCTTTTTCCTTGGAGGCTCAGAAAGAGCCAAAGTTTAACCCAGCTGGCACAAGGGTGTGGTGTGACTTTGCACCTTGGATCTGCGTATCTTCTTAAGATGACAGACACAGTTAGATAGCAAGCCTTTGGACTGTGGGTGAAAACCACACAGACTCCAGACTGCAGACTCCATACAGCAGGCACCCCGGTCCAGAATAAAACCAGGACCCAAGAGCTAGGAGGCAGCACTGCCAAATGCACCATGATAATGCACGGTCCCCTATTCTTACAGTGTTTTAGGAACTGTTTTTACTTGTTTAACTTTTGCAGACAAACGTAAGGATCTCAGAAGTGTCAGTTGACTGAACCCCAGAATTACTCTTTGTTACTTGGAAGCACAGAACCCATGCTTGACATTCATGTCAAGAGCGACTACGTTTTGAATGAAAAGTATAATTATCTATCAATTCAAAACTCAGAGAAGCGAAACAATTCAATAAATGCATGCCTTGCGTGATAAACTCATTGTACCTGTCAAATCACTCTTTTCAGGCAGTAATAAGAAGTTCTCTCCATTTGCACACATCAAGTTATTTTCTTTGATTCCCTGTCTTTAATTGGCGAGCACTTTCGAGTTGAGAGCACAATCCTGTCCTTGCATTTAAAAAGAGCTCCTTTGTTTGTTTCTTAATGCTGTGTAAGAAAAGAGGTTATGAGCCAGCTGATTCATTCACTGCTGGGGGTTTTTATGGGTATTGTTGAAAATTATATTTTGCATTGGGAATAATTGATACTTTACAGCGCTGTATTAAAAGTAGTGTAAATGAAATGAAATTAGGCTGACAAACCTAGCCCAATTTCTGCCTTTTTGAAGCAAAGCTGAATGGTAACATTTAATTCCAGCAATACTAATGCTAGCAGGAATCAAGCTGCACTTTTATGTTCAGCTTTTAGACATGACAAAGAGCACTCTCTGCAAAAACAAATATATTGTTAAAAGAGTCCCCTCTATTATAATGCTGACCTCATGAGACATTTTTATGTTCCTGTTTTTTCTTTCATTTTGGAAGGAGATGAATTCTTAAAATATCTCAAAATAGATGTAAATGTAGAAATTATTGGAAGCAAGTCCTTTTTCTTTGCTAAAACATTTGGAGTAAACAGGATGGAGTACTAAACCACGCTGATTGCTTACGTTATGTGCAACATTGGTGTCTTCTAATCTCGGCAGATATCAGTAGCTAAGCAAGGCTGTGCCTGGTTAGTAATGGAATGGGAGACCTCTTAAGAAATCCCACTTACTGCTGCAAGAGGTGTTTTGGCTCACACCTCTGGACCAGAAACTGTAACAAATATCCATGTGTGGTTTCTATAGTCACTGTCCTATAGGTGGTGGTATTCCTGAGGTGATGATAATTCCTTACACTTGTATAGCACTTTTCTGGACACTCCAGTCAAAGTGCTTTCCAGGTAATGGGGATCCCCTCCACCACCACCAGTGTGCAGCCCCACCTGGATGATGCGACAGCAGCCATAGTGCTCCAGAACGCTCCCCACACACCAGCTCTCAGTGGGGAGGAGAACATAGTGATGAAGCCAGTTCATAGATGGGGATTATTAGGAGGCCGTGATTGGTAAGGGCCAATGAGAACTTTGGCCAGGACGCCGGGGTTACACCCCTACTCTTTTCGAGAAGCGCCCTGGGATTTGTAATGACCACAGAGAGTCAGGACCTCGGTTTTATGTCTCATCCGAAGGACGGTACCTTTTTACAGTATAGTGTCCCCATCACTATACTGGTGCATTAGGACCCACACAGACCGCAGGGTGAGCGCCCCCTGCTGACCCCACTAACACCTCTTCCAAAAACAACCTTAGTTTTTCCTGGGAATCTCCCATCCAGGTACTGACCAGGCTCACACCTGCTGTGCTTCAGTGGGCTGCCAGCTGTGAGTTGCAGGGTGATATGGCTGCTGGCTGATAAGTTAATTCGAGGTCCAGAATACAGCAGGGTCTGGACCAATGCAAAGGATTCGGTGCAGAACACTGTCACAGATAGCCAAATTCAAGTCTACTCCTATATTTTCGCTTAATGTGCCAGAGTATATAGTTTATATGGCAAAAAGACATAAGTAACTCTCCCTTATATGATAGTTGTATTCTATACAGTATTATGTAGTACTAATGCATTGGCTCTAAATTAATTTAAATAACATTGATCAACTTAAAGAAGCAACAGCAGTCTCAAAAACAGTAATCTAAAATAAGCAGCATGAATCCCTTCTCTGCATCCATCGAGTGTTTTCTCTCTCTGCCTCTGTGATTACCAAGTTGCACCGTAATGAAACGGGCAATAAAGCTGTCAGAGAGCCCTGTAAGGTCATTTCCAGTCTGCACAGACACAACTGGAAGTGTTCGTTATGATATTAAAACAAGGCCACACTGAGCCGCGTGTGCTCAGGTGGGGGGCTGGGAGGGGCTCTCTCTCTCTCGCTGGGTCCGTGCTCTCTGCCCGACTCTTCTGTGCTGCTCATTTGAAAGTTGACGGCGACGCGCTTCAGCTCAATTTCTTCCCACTCTGCTGTCGACTGGCCCGAATCTCAAGTCACAAATGACTGAATGTTAAAGTCGCAGATCTGCTACCCTAGGACACCAAAAGAGCCCCTGGCAGTGTTCATGACACCAGGAGTGGCTAAATTCGGCTTTGAGCTCGTGTAATTCAGTTAGCGATGTGATTTCACCCTTTTCCTCCTGATCTGCTGTGCAGTGGTGCTGCTGGGGCAGAGAGGGTAGGTGGGGGTTGTACTCTAGTGGTGTGTGATGAGAGCCCCTTCTGTATGGGGAAGTGCTTCAGGAAATGATTCTTTAGGATAAAAACTGGCTTGTGTTGCTGAACTGCCTCTAAAGAAAAGCTGCTGAAAAAACTTTCATCTAATTTGTAGTGCAGCACTCATTTTTAATTACTGAAGGATTATCCCACTGAAAGAAGTTGGTATAAAATAGACAATTCTCATTTCAAAACATTCTTCTTTCCTGTTCTGTATATGGGCTCACATAATGCAAAACATAATTTTTTTCTTAATATCATAAGCCCCCAAATCAACGGATAATGTTGGTATCTTTCCATCTCTTTATAAAGATTACATTTTTGTTCCTGGTATCTCCACTATACATCTCACACAAAATACAAAAAACAAAGGTTTGTTAAGGTTGCTGGGCTTTTTTCATCATTTTGTACATGGAGTGGCCTAGGTGTTTGAGATGGCATGGTGACAATTTCCAGTTTGTCTTCTGTTTAAGATGCTGGTCGTTGTAAAATGTGGGTGGGCTGCAGTGTAACACTAGCTTCAGGGATTAGTCACTGAAATACAGAAGAAACTGAACTGGCTGGAGTTTAGCTCTCATGCTTGACCAATCTTTCCTACTGGCAGCTCGAAAACGTGTTTCTTTGTTTCTCCTGGAATCAGACCTGGAGGCTCATGGGTTGATTAGCTTCGTCTACAATGCACGCTTTATACACCCACTCAGGTCAGGGCGGAGTGCATAAGATAGAAATGGCTAAATCCATCCTTAAATAAATTAGGTTCAATAAGATTTAGCCTGGCAGGGTTTTTATTTAGTCAAATCTGGAATGGCTTGTGCTGCCATATAGGGTCAAACGTCTTTTTTCCTGTGTGCAGAATTTCCCTGGGTGCGGAAGTCATTGATCACGAGTCCTTCCACAGCTGGGAGAATAGGCTGGCAAGAGAAAGAATGCAAACACTTGTGTTGTCTAGGAATAATATTCCCTCAGAATAAAAATTTGCACGATTTCCCTTGGTGCTTAATCTCTCATAAAATATTTACTCTTAGAAATAAATCTATACATTCTTGGCCTCTGCTTGGATTAAATGTAATTTGACAGGGGGCTGATAAGGGATGAAGCAGTGTTTGCACAAGAGGGTATTTAGCCCTCTCCGTACAAGCCCACCTGCCCCCATCCTGTTAGCGTCTTTCCCCTGAGACTGAGCTTAACGGTCTTCTAACGATCCGTCACTCTGGCCGGTGGGTGATGCTGCAGGAGAGAGAGACTTCAAAAGACGGGGAGAAGTATCTTTTATCAGCCTGTAATAGCTGTGGCTGGGGAATGCTTTGGAGGCTCGATAAGTAAAGTGAAACTGAATAATGCACCGCAGCTTTGAATAACTGTCTTTTTTAGCTGGGGGGGAAGATGGTTTTTCTCAGATGCACAACCTTCATATTTAACATGAAATTAACAAGCAAGCTCTCCTTCCCTGCCTCGCGCCCCGGAGCCATTTCTGAAGCGGCTGGTATTCCTTTATGTGGTGCTTTGCAAACGTATTAAGAGCCTTCCTGTTGTGTCCCATTTTGTTACGAAAGTTACGAAATGTTGCATCGACATTCCCTTAAAGTTCCGATTTTATACAAAACCTGAATGCTCCAACTGAAGGGTTCTACAGGTAAGATACGTTGCAGCGAAAGCCAACAAAAACTAAGAAGAAAAAAATTAAATACGTTGATTGCATACACCCCTATGAACTCAGTTTTTGATGTAAGCACTTTTGGCAAAAATTACAACTTCTTTCTGGGTCAGTCTCTTCCAACTTTGCGCACTGTCATAGTGTGATTTTTGCCTGGGTTTTTAGCACATTTGATGAAACTCCCAGATTGTTACGGGGTTTCAGTTTCAAGCTTTTCCACAGATTCTCAAAGAGGATTCATATCCGGACTTTGACAGGGACACTCAATGACATTCTCTTTCCTACTCCTAAGCCCCCCCAGTGTATGTTTGGCCTTGTGCTTTGGGTCATCGTCCCGCTGAAAGGTGAATTTTCACCCTAGTCTGAATTCATCAGCAGGACTGAAACAGGTTTTCTTCTGGTATTAACCTATACCTTTGCCATCTAGTTTTCCTTAAATCCTGCTGGATTTCCCCGTCTCTGCTGAGAAAAAGCCTCCCCATAGCGTGGTGCTGCCTGCACCATGCTTGACTGTAAGGATGGGGTTTCCTGGGTGATGTGCTGGTATTTGAGATGGATATTCCACTCTGCCATACGTGGCAGCTCTAAGGAGTGACCAGGATCTTGTGCATTTCAGTGACTTTATCCCTGACCTACTTTGAAAGCTGCTTTAACAGTCTTTCACGGTGACAGGTGTTTTCATTGCACACAGAGGCCACTCAGCACATCTGTGCCTCATTAATGTCATTTTGTGCACCTAAAGTAATTTCTGCCGCCTCAAAGTGTTTTAGTACTTATGCAATCGTGGCTTTTTCATCGTTCTGTCGTTATTGTTTGTCCTTCTTTCTTGTTGCTTTTTTTTTGCTTTGAATGTGCCGAGTTGTGTATATAACATATCGCTGCTTCAAAGTGTCATGAATGCAAGCTTTAAAGCAACAAAATGCAAAAACTGAGCAAAGGCCTGAATACTTTTGCAAGGCGCTGTACTGTATACAGGTATTCAGATTTCAAAACCAGTTCCAGTAACAGGTTTTTTTTTCCACCCTGCATGAGACCACATCTCACTCGGCGCCCCTGTAGTTCCTGAGTGCATGGTGCTTGTTCACAGGCGTCTCATTAGCCTTCTTCACTCCACCTACTGTGCTGAAACCTTTTTAATAGGTTGTTTAATGACAGGATGGTGCTGCCACTTTTTTCTTCTTTAGAGCAATGTAATTGTACTAGACTCTGTGTTGGGCTTTGTTGCCCCTGGTCCTCGAGAGCCACAATCTGGCCAGTTTTATGTGTCACCCACAAATCGCTAGATGTGAAACAGTTTTGTTTTGAGCGCCGAAGCGGTTGATTTGTTCAACTGACATCATCTGAAATGAACCCAGTGTTCCTGCTCTCAGGCACCACTGCTGCCTGTTTCTGAGTTCATTTAAATTAACTTGGGAACAGGCAGACCAATTCACTTACTAAATTGTTTAAAACACACTTGTGTTCCAGGTCTTTACAGATCTCTGGTCTGAGGGTGACTTGTCATGCTTGTGGCTCTACAGGACCAGTTGGTAGACCCTGTTATATGTTAATGGACCAAAAAAGCTGTTCTTGGGGATCAACTCTTCTCTAACCGAGCTACAGCCTGACAGTTTCTGTTAGGGGCACATCTGTCCTCTCCTTCTTCAGATCCAAGCTAACAGAGAATCGAAACTAACAGAGCACGACCTAAAAAACATGTGGAGGTGGGACTCATCACACATGGACTATCAAAAATGTGAGGCTTCTTGGCGCGAATAGGCTGACTGTTTTATTTCTGCTCTGCAGGAGTCTTTCTTCCACTGGACCTTCGGTGTGACAGAGCCAGACTGCTATGGGGCAATCGATGTTGACAGTGGGAAGTCCATCCTGTTCGTCCCCAAACTGCCTGAAAGTTACGCCACCTGGATGGGAAAGTATGTCCCCGCTTCTCAGAAGTTTGCTCTTCAGTCGGATGATTTCAGAGAATCCAATACGAAATATGATTAAGGAACTTGAAGAGAGCTCAGATTTCTGGATCTTTTTCTAATTGAAATCTTTCCGCTGATGTGGCACTGTTATTTCATGAGACTGTGTGGGCATTGTATAATTGCACAAGATACATACCTTATTTTTAGATAGAAGTAGAATTCCATTAAAAAAATGTGGTCTTAATTTTATTATGGAGACCTATAGAATCGTATTTGCAAGATTAATTAGCTTTTGAAATGAGCAGAACGGCTCTTTCAAACAATATTTCCCAACAGGTGTGCTGTGCTACAGTGGTGTGCCTTTAAACCTTAATGGTTGTGCTGCAGTACTTGGGAAAAGTCATGTAGGAGAAACAAAAATTGATATCTTAAGGATTATTTACTTATTCGTGTTGTGGTACAGCTACCATTTTGCACGTCTGGTCTATACAGAGGCCACACTCTTAAGATTGTACTTGTGGGACCTGTTTTAAGATTTAAGACTTAAGATTTTTATGCCTGACAGACATTAAAAGACAAAAATGTATGATAGGGGCTGAGCTGTTTTCATTTGATCTGTTTCTGCAAGAATAAGGCGACTACGCACTTTGATGCAAACTCAGATTAAACATTGAAATAAGTTTTTTTAGTAATATTAATCATTTATTTGGGACAGTGATGTGTGCGTGTAAGGGAAGTTAAAGTCTGCAGTGGTTTGGAAAAGGATGAGAAACACTGACATGTTGTCCAATATTCCAGTCCCTCTCAGGACTTAATTACTAAATTTAGAGATGCCAATTTAGTGGATAAACAGTCAATCAGCTGTGATTTCCAGGAGCTGTGTTTTCCGGGACTCTGTTAGGTGTTCCTCTACCTTTTTCCTCTAAAATTTGCCAGTACTTTGCACCGCCCATTTTTCTCTCAGTTCTGAAAGATTCCCAGTCCCTGCTGATCTGATATGGTGAGCACCACGCTTGACTGCTGGGATGGTGCTGAGTAGGTGATGTGTTGTGTTGGGTTTGCGCCAAACACAAAGGTCTGCATTTAGACAAAGTTCAATTTCTGTCTCCTGCAGGACAGGACACATTTTTTGTGTCCTGCCACATGTCTGCATTATATGTCAATGAAGATTTAAGATGAGTTTTTTCATGCCACTTTCCCATACAGGCCAGAAGTGTGCAGGGACACATATTATATTGTCAGTGAGTGAACAGAGACTCCCATTTCAAACATACAATTTTGCAGATCTTTCAGAGTCACTTCTGCCTCACAGTGGCGTCCATGACAAGTCTCCTGCTTACCTGGCTTCTCTGTTTGAGATGGTGGCTCATTATATGTTGTAAATGGGTAGTATGGTGCACAGTCTACTTCCTAATGTTGGACGTCGCTGTACTAATTGGGAAAAGTAACCTCCTTCTGACCTTTGCCTCTTAAGCACTTCTTCCTTGATTTCCTTTGAAAGCTTCTTGGGTTTCATGATTCAAATGACACGCTTTTGCTTCAACTGTCTAAACAGAGAGGCAGGCAAGAGGTAATTAAATAAGGCGTGATTAATTAATTTCTGTTTTAATTTGAAAGGTGCATTGTTGACATCGCTCCAAGCCTATTCCTCGCTCTTACTTGTAATTAATTAACATGACGCCTGCCATTTTCCTTTCCATGACAGCAGAGCATGCAGTCTTACCTGTTGAGGTTTGGATACATTATGCAGATTTATTTAATTGTCCCAGAAGAAGAGTAGTTTCAAAGGCTCCATGCTGAAAGTATCTTCTGTACAGCAGAACACAAGCTGTCTGGTGAACAGAGCTTTTGACAGTGTTTTTGTGTTTTAATAAGCGACGAAGACAGTTGTTTATCTTGTTACTGGCTGTAGAAGCTTTGTGACAATTGTTGTAGATGTCAGCTGAGAGACATCTACATACATACATGTCAGGAAGAACGTGTGGGAGGAACTGTGAAAAAATACCCCAAAAGTCTAGGAGACCTTGCCTACTGCACTTTGTGCATTTTTAAAAGTAGTTTATAAAATAGTTTAACTGTTGTGGCTTTTTTAAACTCACATTTGAGTAAACTCCCAACTAAACTTTGAGTGGGACAGTTCATACTGTTAAGTTAAAGTTATGTACCTACTATAATGGCAGCAATAATGATAGAGTCTTTCACAAGTAGAGTGACAAAATGTTCTAGGTTTCAAGTGATGTTTAAACATTCAAAAGTGTAGGAAAGTTTGCAAAGACTGAAAGAAACATAAGGGATATTCACCTAGCAGATATAATTTCTTTAAAGCCTATATAAAAAGGATTATTTACATACCTAAACTTAGTTTCATGCATATTTACTTGACTAAAAAAAGAAAAATATATTCCCTACAGCTTATCTCTACCTATAAAGTCTCCAGATACAGTCCCTCCTCTAAAAATATTTTCTGACAGGCTGTTAATCCGCCCACACAGCTGCTCAACAAAGCAGATCCAGCAGCAGTCTTCCAGCACATCTTTGTTATTCCTGAACTATGTACAGTATATATATAAATATTATTTGTCTTGTTTTCTGTTAGCAATCATGTACATTTGTGAGGCGATGCTTTGCAAGGGGAGAAGAGGTGGCTGTCTTGCAGCTGCTTGGAGCTGAGGAGGATAATGATTTTGAGAGCAGGAACTTTTTTTCAAAAGGAATCTTATTTCCTGCATCAGGACGGCACTTTTAATTGACACCTCTGCGGGCCTGGATTAAGCTCACAAAAGCGATGTGGCACACGCAGTACCGATTAAAATAATGCGAACACCCACACAGCCGGGATCTGTTTAACTGATGTGCAGCAGCTTCAGTAAATAAAGGCTGTTCTCAAGCTCTTATCTTAGACCTCAACACAACAAACTTTAAACTGGATTAATTAATGTTAAGTGAGGGGTGAAATTTATCCCTTAGAATAGAGGGTACCAAAATGATTCAGCAAATAATTAAGTCTTCCAATTCATCTCCTACGATAGATGGCTCTGGTTGGAAGCAGCACTGTTGCTGAAACATTTAACATTTGTTAAATAAAATCTGTTTATGAGTACAGAGTGCATCCAGCTGACTACTCTCTTTTTATAGCTGTTTTTCTGGGCCGACCCTCTGTGATTTTTGGGGTGCGTGTTCTTTTTTTCTTCTTCTGGAAGTAGAGTCCCAATGTCTTTACCTGGGCAAGACATGCTGTTAAGTCTCATCCCTGCCAAAGGGACTGTGATATCTCTGAGCTCTGCCCAGTGCTGGGAGGACTTTAACAGCAGTCTGGTCTCCTTAAGGCCCCCAAGGAGTTGGCTGACTGGTGAGAGTTTTGTGGGTCTTCATTCTGATCACTTAGAAGGGTCTTCAACGTCTGCTAATTAAGGCTTGTTTAATTCTGCTCGTTAACAGGATCCATACCCGGGAGCACTTCAAAGACAAGTATGGACTGCACGAGGTTCACTACACCAGCGATGTGAGTCAGCCCCTTCGAGTTTCCCTTCTTTACACCATTTTATTTTTAATTTCCTAAAGACATATCAGAGAGGAGCTCTCATTAAACAGTGGGGTGACAGGCTCTCACGCTTCACTTGGCTTGGATGCATAACTGTAATTTCCGATTCTGCATGCCGAGCGGAACCAATGAGCTCATTGACGTGGAAAGATCACACGGTGTTTCTGTTGTCCCTGGGTGACACTGTCACCTCCAGTATGCACTGCCTCCTTAGTAAAATAATTTGTAATTGAATATTGTTGCTGGCAGCTTGTCAGCAAGGAGGGAGAAGAAATAAACAAAACAAAGCGAGGCTGTTAATTAAAGGCACACTGAAAGCAATTGGAAATATTTGAATAAACAAACTCGGATCTGGAAGCAAAATGCTTGGGGATCGGGGCTTTTGTGCCCATAGGAGATGGTGTCTGTCTTCCAGATGGCAGGTTAAAGTTGTACAGATATTCTGGGAACACTGCTAAGACACTGGCATCTCTTTTCCTAAGGGCAGCAGAGCTACCGATCCAGGATCCAGGATTCTCCAGCTAACTCCACTATATTAACGCACCTGTCAAGATCCAATCCAAAAGTATTGGGCCAGCAAAGACGAAGCCGTTATTTTTGCTTTGCAATCAAGCAATTTATATTTATGATCATGAGATAACATGAATGATTCGTACAAGGATATACATTAAAAACTAAAATATACTTCATGATACTTTATGGCACTCATTACAAATTTCAGAGTGGAAATGTTTAGTTTGAAACATGTATTAGATCACTCTCATGATCAACCAATAGGAACTGCTTGACAGTAAAGCAAAGTAACAGTTTTTCCATTCCCAGTATTTTTGCAGGACACTGTAAATCTCTTTCGCTCTTCCCTGTTTTCAGCTGTTATGCTGCCTGGGGGGGACAGTTGTGTTTCTACTGGAGCAGAGGAGGCTGTGGTCTAGTCAGTGGTTTGTTTGTTTTGCCTTCCACTTCCGGATTTGTGACCTGCAGCAGAATTTATAGCATAATGTTAAGCATACATGCTCCTAAAACCCTGAAGAGGGCAAAACATGGTGGCCGCCGATATGAGTTATTGAGTTGGTTTTTGTAATATGTAATTTTTTATGTCTGTCTGTGTTGGTAACACTCAGGCACTATTATAATACAGTGGAATGTTCCTTTCAGTAGTGTATGGTGTTGCTCTAAGGTTTTCCTGTTGAAATACTTTACCCTTAATGTGTGACAGTCCCTTGGTTACGTGTAAGGTACAATGAATGAAACACAGATACCAAATAACCCATATAATCTATGCATAGAAGGTGAGGATGCGATGAATCGCAATAAGGCAAGAGGAGGTAATTTTGTCCATTTTAACCCATTTGGTAGTTAGTAGTTCATGGATCCAAGGATCTCATGCAGCTGTTTCTTGAAAGCAGCCAAGTTAACGACATTGACAGCTTTTCTTGGTTGCTTATTCCATACTCCCAGAACACTTTGTGTAAAGCAGTGTCTCCTGTTCTGGATTTCAATTGCTAGGACGCAACAGGAAATCTCCGGTTCACAATTCTCTGATTACTTTGTGCAGCTCGTTGTTTGACTATTAATTAAAGGACCCAAGTATTTAAAATATGACTGAAAGATAGATTTTAAACCAGTCTTAGTATGTCCATCCCTAGTAAACGTTGGGAATATTCCTCTAAAGCCTGTATGTGATGTTGTCATTTACTGTGAGGTTTGAAAATAGTGAGGTTGTTTGAAATTTGGAACATTAAGGGTGTGAGTTGAACTACAGGTCACATCAGGCCTATGCAATGTGCCAGCATGGGGTTGATTCACGTTTTAGTATCTCTAGCTAATCTTCCTTGTATTATTACAAGGATCACATTTCATACTGACATAAAATATTAATGAGTCTGCCTGGAAGGCAGAAAGGTAAAATTTAAACTGAAGGCAGATGACAGAATTTGGGCTTTTATGAATACTTACCACAAGAATTTGAAAAATTTTTAAACCACCTGCTAATTTCTAGGGATCTCTTGGTTTAAATCTTAGTTTCTTTGTAGTCATTTGTAATCGGTCAGATTTATACAGCTGGAATTAACATGCAATCATGTACAGTTTGTCTTTTTGATCAGAGAGTGTGAACTGGTATGCTGCCCTGTATTACTCCTTATTCCTTAAAAAAGACATTGGCAGTCTGAGGTCAGGTATTGTGGGGGTCAATTATAATTGTGCATGCAATGAGGAAACACATTTTGTCAATGAGGATGGAAATAATTCTAGATGCTCCCTGCTGTGCTGAGATTTATTAATGCAAATAGTACTAAAATTGTCAGCCTTATCATTATTCAAACTAATCCACACTCAGGTTTAGGATGCATTGATATTCAATAAAGATAAACAGTTAATACACTCATACTCCCATGATAAAAGGCCAAATAAAGAAAAATCAATAAGATTAATAAAGAGATGTTGTATAGCAATACTTAAATCGACTTCATTTTATGTTGTGAAAGCAGACCTGACACTTATCTCTCTTAGAGATTTTAGATGGTATCTGCAGTTAGGATATCTTCGTTGTTATATAAAAGCTGCATCAGGGACCTGTCATGTTAAAATTTGACCTGCACAGAGTGATGCTGAGGTTAATCTCCTGGGACCTGAGGATGTTGGCTCACCTGTCTGGTTAGCTGGAAAATGCTGTGAAGAGTTAGTGGTTTAGAATGTAACAAGTATGGCAGACTATTAAATCTACAGAAACACTCCACTGACTCCTTACTGGAGTTTTTAGGACCCTGTTAGCATGGAGAACTGTGGAGTAACCAAATAATATGCCAACATAGTGGAGACTTTTAAATAGTTGTGGAAGCCTTGCGTTTTGAGATTTATGTGTTGCACCTTGTAAGAATTATACATTCAGGCATATACATTCTGTTTGGACAGTTTTTCTGCTGTATTTTTTTTTGCCAGACTGCAATCCCATGATCACCTAATATAGGTAAAGCAGACTAGCTGCTGTTTGGTATGCACTGAAGCAGTTTACGTCTTGCATAGCTGTTAACCTACATTGCACAGTACTACAAAGCAGTAGTAACAGTGTAACCTGACACTCATTTTACTCTAAGGTACGCAAAAAAGTTCATTTTAGGTAGGCTATTTCAAACTTCCAGGCTGTTCCATGCTGTGTCTGTTCCTCTGCAGCACAGGATTGGCTGTTACAGAACACTCCAGCCTAGAGACTGCGGGCAGCTTTTCAGTGGAACAATTCTGGGTACTTTGGGGTCTAGGAACTTATCCTGAAATCCTGTGGAGGGCACAAGGGGAAGGGAAGGTCACTCTTAATTGTGACTTTGTGTTCAGCACACTGTAGGACAGACGAGCAAGTCAAGTGAGCTCTGCCGGGGTTTTTTCATCCCAGGAGCATCTCGGCCCTTGTAGTTACTAAGCCCGATCTCTGGCTAGACAGGTTCTCTGCGTCAGATTGAAATCTCTCTCCCTGACAGGTTTTGATCTTGCCAGGTAAGCATCTCGTAACAAGGGTGCTTGACAACTCGCAGATCAGAATTCAGATGTGGCTGCGGAGCTGAGCAAAAAACTTGGCCTGTCTCTTCAGGTGGCGTTTCGAAGGAGGGAGGGTAGCTGAGCTGGCTGTATGATCAAGCAACACCTTGAGGGTGCTTGTGGCTCCTAAGGGGCTGTAGGGAAGGAAGGTCAAACATGAGCTTCTGAAAACAAAGACGCTTTCCATCTTTTTTTTGCACTGGGTTTGATTATGACATTCTGTTGTCTGTTATACATATGTTATAGGTATCACTCATGGACATCTTGTAAGTTTTTTCTCTGTGCAGTTTTTAATTAATTTAGTTCTTTGTGTTCGGACCTTTCAGACCAGGTTGTTTTCTTTATCTTTCGTCATCTATCAAAGTCTTCCAGGAAAGGAGAAAGGGAATTTTTGCAAACAATTATCTTTACGTGGAAAACAAAAATCAATATACCTTGAAGTGTCAAGTGTGACTAAAGCAAATAAATGTTCGGATTCTGCCTAGTTCATCATGTGAAAGACTGGGCTCATGTCAGACTCTGTATTCATAAATTATGAATGACAAGATTGTTTATTGGGAAGGTGAACAGCCCTGTTCTCATTCATCAATCTCCATTGACTTTTTGCTGTAATATAATTGTGAATGGTGCCTAATGCATTTAGCAGTCTATGTGCTTATTGATGTATTCCTCTTAAAACAGATTTCCAAATCAATGGGCAATATATTATGATACATTATAGTACGAGAGAATTTAAAGATGAAAGTGAAATGAAAAAAGTGTCAGGTTCCCCTTTATCTACAGTCTAAGTTTGTCACAGTCAGTCAAATATATTTTGTCTAGTATATTATAAATAAGGCAGCCAAAGAGATTTCTCACATCCACTAAACAGTGTTCATTTTTACTTTGGAAGAATCTGTATTTTCCTTAAGCAGCAAAGGACAAAATTATCAAGTTAATGCTATGAAAATGTCAAAGCTTATCTGAATTTGAAGGCAAGGCTTTTAAAGAGATTAATTTATTATGTTTTCCAGTTAAAAGCATTTTCTCATTTTCTTGTGCTCCTTGATGCAAAGAGAGGAAAAAACCCTTTGCTGACATGTTCAAACTTTGTTTTCAGTCCAAGTTTGATCAAAATTGTAATATTTTTGTACAATACCGTTGCTGGCATTTGATGAAAACATGTTTTATAGATTAACTTGTATTTTTATTTGGTTTTTAATTATTGTAAACACAGTTTAATCTTGGCTTTTGAAAAATGCAGTGCTGTGGTTTTCGGAGGGTTGTGTAAGTGTGTGTGCCTCATGAACTTCAAATATGTATCACTGCCAGCAGGCATCAGAGAACACTTGTAGCCACCTCTGCAGTGGTCTCAGTAGGTAACACAGGCCAGGGCAGGAATATCTTAGTGTGATTCCACCATCAGTAGATTGCCTGGGCTCTGTGATCAT